GCTCACACGTGGTTCTTCCTCGGCTACACTTGGAAATGGAGGCTTAGCTCCGCACCTCTCTCTAGATTGGTATGTATGAGGTTTTATCTGTACTTTTAAAAAATGTTTTTGTAATAATATTATTTTCAACCTTTATTAGTTTCAGATGTAAAAAATGTATCTTGTCCCTACTGCACTCCCATGTGAGATTGATATTCCTATTATTATTATTTGAACTACCCATAAAAATATTAAGGTCTTCTAGTGTTCCTTCTCATAACATCATTAAGTCATAAATAAATCTTCGATATGATTTAACCTCTGGTATGTTGTTCTGAAACACCTGTTCTTCTTCCCATTTCGTCATGTATATGTTTGCTATACTTGGCACAAATTTTGCACCAATGGCTACTCCCATTTTTCATTATACCAGAATTGGTTATGCTTAAGTCAAAACTCCAGATATTTTAAAATAAATTTTTTGTGCTTCCTAGTTAATCCATCACCCTTACTTAGCACCCATTTTACAGCTTACATGTCCTCCTTATGGTCAATGTTTGTATATAACGATGCTACATCAGCTGTTACTATTATAGTATGTTCAGAAACATTATTGGATTGAGCATATTAGAAAGATTGGAGGGGTGAAACATGATCAAAGAGCTAATTAAAATAGAATCATAGTGGATACATGAACTGAGGACCCTTATTGCAAGAGGCCTCAATGCAGAATTTGACTTGACATGCTTCTTCAGTAATATTTAATTATAGCAGTATTTTGTATAGATTTTTATTTTTATACATGGCCCTTTAATTAGTTAGAGTACTGGTAGTTTCTCCGTACCCTAGAGAGTATACCTACTTAGGGTACATACTATTTAGTTGTCAGAGAGGACTTAAAGTATTTATTTTGCACCTGTAACATGCAGTATACAGATGTTTATAGCACATAAATAGTAGGACTATATGTATACACTATTTCAATACTTTTTTTTAATGTTTTATATTTTCAAATTTTTTATATTTTTTTAATAAAATATTTTTAAGTTATACAAATTTTTTGGGAGATAGTATATAGTAGATATAATATATAAAAAAAAACAGGATAACCGCAGAGGTATATATATAGTAGAAATATCATTACGAAATCGTCAATCTCTTAAACATAAAAAAACTTTGAGAGTGAACAGTAGACTCCATAAAAATGACCACGCAAGATTGGTGTTAGTAAGTAGGATAACATCTACAAAGAAATGGCATCCACATAACGGAAAATCATCTTTAGTATGCAAGATTTTATCTACAACAAAATTGCGCCCGCATTGGAAATGAGAATGTAGATTGTTGTGAGTTGGTAAGGACTACAACAAAATGGCCACAAGTAACAACCTACAAATAGGCAGAGCGTAGTGGCGCTCAATCATATCCCCCTGAGGAAGCCTTGTGACCCTGTGGCGTAACACGTGGGGGGGCTTGATGACATCACAATGCTCACGATAGTGGACTGGTAAACACGAGAATGTACACAGTATATACTGTATTTCAAACGCTGGTTATATCCAGTGTGATGGAGCGCCAGTAACATGTGAGTGGTTTTCTGTACTAATATATATGAGGAAATAAAAGTGTTTTGAGGCTAAAGCACTATCTTTTGCCTATTTGCTTTTTATGCTGAGCGGAAGAGCAAGGAGGAAGAGAATTTGAGTGAAGGAGTTGATTTGTATCTGAGAGAAGGAGTTGATCTTTGACCAGGAAGGGAATTGAGGAGGCTATACTATAAATTCAATTAAAGGACACAAGTGCTTTTTGCCCTAGCGTTTTATGTGAGGTCAAAAGCTCCAGGCAAGAACACATCTGGTGTTGGTGGAGGTGCTGTACCAGTGTGATATAGAAGACACTAAGATCATTAAAGAGAATATATTTTAATGAACGTTTGAGCAACAAACAAGGGGACTGTTTGGCTGATAGGACTTCCTTTGTTTTATCTGATGATATGCAGAGTATATTCCGATCTGTTAAGCACAATTCTTTAATTTTATTTATGTTGAAAGCGCTGCACTTTTTTGAGTTATATTGGTATACAAACACATAAATATGAGTATGTGAAGGGTGTGGGCTGCTTTCGTATGGATCAATAGTGTGTGACCACTGTAATAAAGGGTTTTAAAGGTTCTTAGTTATTTGTGCATGGCAGCTCGCAAGACCATGTACAGTACATATACAGTTTTAATCATCCCAACTTTACCTTAAATGTAAAAAATAAAATAGTCTTTAAAGGTTGAGTTCATCTTTATGGAAAAAATTATAAATGTACATATTTTGCAGTGAAATAATGTGCATATATTATTTTTTCCCCCAGAAGCCTGAAAAGTGTCGCACTCCCGACTGCAATTGCAATATTAGCATCCTATAGACACATCCTCCAGCTTTCTGTTCGTACTTTCACAGACTTTCTGTTCGAAAGCTGGAGTATTTGTGAATGGACTACAAGGGCATGCTCATCTGTGCCTCCACAGTCCATTGAGAGCTACAAGCCATCTGCGGAGGTGGAAAACAGGACATGTAGTTTCTTCATTTACAGATCCCTGTGAACAAATGATACAGCTATGTAGATGGAGTCCTGCACAGCTGAGCCGGGGATTGGGGGGGTGTTTGCAAGGTGAGGGGAACATGTGCTGGAATATTTGAATCATTAGTGCTTTATCTTAGCTTGGTGGCAGTAATTTAGTAAATCATTTTCCTAAACAATGGGATCTTGTGAGTTACTATGGTATGAAGCTACTATGGTATGAAGATAAAATGGTCCCTTTGATTACGTGCATGTGCGCGAAAACACGTCAGGGAGGAACTTGCCGTACTGACGTCAAGCCGTCGTGTCATTACGGAGGTCCGGCAGAAATTTTTGTGAGTGTGTTGCCAGTTTTCTCTGTTACCCACGTGGATGTTTCTTCAATAAATAAATAAATACTACACCATAAATGCTCCTGTTGTGGCTCATTTTTGTGAGCTATTTTCCCTAAGGTGGATTATGTTATTCCTGCTGGATCTGACCATGATGGAGAGGTTGCCTGAGTCATCCCTGTAATGCAGTGAGAGGCCAGTGGTGGTGCCAGAGTCATCCCTGTAATGCTGTGAGAAGCCAGTGGTGTTCTTCTTGTCTCCATACCATGATCTTTCTGGTGAAAGTTTTCCCTACTTGTGGAGGAGCTGGATATATTATGCATTTATTATGCGCATCTGGTGAGTGCATTCAAAAGCATTATCTAGCACGAAGTCACTTTCACCTATTCATCACGGAGATTGCTTGGAGGTTTATTTGATATTCATCTGAATGATCTCATTCATTTATTTTATAATGGACAGTTCATTATTGTCACTTTATAGTAACTTTTAGAATTCACTTACTCGCTGTCATTTTGCATGACACATATGAATTATTTTTCACTTTAGCGCTATTTTCAGAGCGCCTCACTTTAAGTCTGTCACTATTGTCACTTTATTTATTAGCACCTCAGTTTTGTAATATTGTACAGCGCTGCATTTTACATTTTTTCATGAAGATAACATTTTCCCCCTGATGAAGCCACGTGACCCAGTGGCGGAACGCGTAGGGGAGGGGCTCTAACATCACAACGCTTAAAGGAGACAGGTAATACACAGCAAGTATACAGCAGAGATTACAAATGCACACTGTGGACTGATTTTACAATGGTTTAAAGCAATTTCAGCTTTAATTACATGTGAGTGTACTACTATTTGTTTAATAAATGTTTTAAAAAGAAGATAAGGCACTATGTTTTTCATTAGTCTTTATGGTACATACACTTATGGAGGGAGAGTCCTAAGGAAGTGAGGGGATCCCCAACTTTGAAGAGTGACATTCCCATCCAGCTCTAAGTCCAATTAAAGGGACACAAGCCTTATATGACCTCACTTAACAGTTTGGTCATATATACCAGGTGAGAGCACAGCTGGTGAAGGTGCACATTTGGTTGATATCACAATTTATTATTGGTGGATTGCACACAAATCAATTTTGTTACATCACCAGAAGGAGTGTGAAGTCACGGATTGATTAAGAAATTTTTTTGCTACAATAGTGATATTGTAATTTTACAGAGAATTTGTTTTGGATTATACTTTGGTCTTGATATCACATATTTTTATTAGTGGAGTGTGACTCTATTATATATTTCTAGTAAATCATTTTACTTTCACCACCCCAGAAAAAGCATACATTAAATCAGGGATTGACCACCCCCATTTCCACCTCTACCAAATCACACAGGTTCACTTTAATTCCCCTTTTTTTATTGGTGTAAATACAGACAGGTATGTAAGGAAAGCAAGGTAGTCTTTCAACTTTGAGTTTAGCTTTTCATATATAGACCTATTCATTATTTATTTTATTTATTTCAGGTACCTATATAGCACTGTCAATTTATGCAGAGCTTTACACATATATATTGTACATTCACATCAGTCCCTAACCCTCAAGGGGTGTACAATCTAAGGTCCCTAACTTACATTCATCCATACACATATTAGGGCAATTTAGACAGGATCCAATTTACCTTCCAGCATGTCCTTGGAGTGTGGGAGGAATCTGGAGTACCTGGAGGAAACCCACGCAGGCAGAGGAAGAGCATACAAACTCCAGGCAGGTGGGGCCGTGGCTGGGATTTGAACCAACGACCCTAGTACTGCCAGGCGGAAGTGCTACCCATTTAGCCACTGTGCTGCCCATTCATTAAAGAACTGAATGCATAGATAAAGCCCTTGAACTATAGCATACTCCACACTGCACAAAAGCTATACAGTATGTCACAGCCCATAAATATCCTAATTATCAGCCCAAATGGTCAAAACTGATCCTTTTCTGCATTATATTTAGATAAATGTACCTTGTAAATGCAAATGTAATCTTACGTACCTCCCAACTTTTCAATGAGAAAGAGAAAGAGAAAGAAAATGTGTATTTAACCTCCCTAGCGGTATTCCCGAGTGTAGCTCGGGGTGAAATTTCAGTAACAAAAGCGGTATCCCCGAGGTACACTCGGGCTTACCATGCGGCGTTGCTCAGGGATTCCCTGCAGCACTTACCTTGTCCTTCTCTCCCGCGATGTCCCTCCTGCAGCATCCCTGGCCATCTCCTCTGGCTGATGCCGGCATCCGGCTTCCGTGTTCTGGTCCCTGTGATGTACGGGTGCCGGAACCAGCGGCAAATTAAAAAATTTTAAAAACTGTCATTTTTTTGTACTAAACTAATATTACATAGTAAAACATTGCTGTATCAAACCATTTCACATACATTTTGTCCCGAGTGCTTTGTCCTGTGCCCTGCCTGCATTTTGACTGTTCTTTCTGCCTAGAAACTTAGAAAAGTCCATGGCGTCCAAAAAGCGTCCCTTTAGGTCAAAAGCGGTTTTAGACCAGCTAGAGAACAGCGATAGTAAATCAGAACCACTTGCAGAATTGAGTGATAATGATTCGTGGGGAAATTTGTCATCAGACACTGAAAACGATTTTGCAACTTTGCTCAGTGATGTGCGAACTTGGCGCTATATTTCAAATTTCAGTGTTTTTGGTTTGATTATATTATTGAATTCAATTTATTACAATATTATTATTTTTTAGGATTATTTCTTAAATTATCATTTATGATTTCGTGTTTCAAGTTTTATCATATCTGGAATGTTTACTAGACTCTTATTCGGACAGATTTCAGTGAGTTATTCCTAAAAATTACAGGCCTACAATTAAAAAACTACATATTTCCTCCCATGCCCGCCTCCAGGACTTCTCCAGGGTGTCACCCATCCTCTGGAACTCCCTGCCCCAACCCATCAGATTATCACCTACTCTCCTCTCCTTTAGGCGCACCCTGAAAACCCATCTCTTCAGGGAAGCCTACCCCACCCCCTGCTAACTTGCCGACCTCCTCCACTCTTCCTACCACTCCATCCCCCACAGCTATCTCCTCCTGTGCCACCACCCCCCCCCTCCTAGATTGTAAGCTCGAAAGAGCAGGGCCCTTGATCCCCTCATGTTTTGCATTGTATTGGTATTGTTCTGTCACATGTTCTGTCTCCCTTTGTAATGTACAGCGCTGAGCGAACTATTGGCACTTTATAAATACTGTATAATAATAATAATAATAATATTTCCATGCAAAATAATGGTACTGCTTTCAGCACCAAAAATCTGAGATAATCATACCGCTAGGGAGGTTAAAGAAATGATTGGTTAAATCCACAAGTATTTTTACTCTAATTATCTTTAGTTTAGAGGTTGGATAAAAGGTTTAGTGTAGTTTAACACTTTTAGCAGTTACATAGTCCATTTTTATGCTTCCCTATCACACAAGACAAACAAGATCTTAGGTTATGGTCTCCTCTTAACTGCAGATTGTGCAAACGTTTGGAATCCGTCTACACTTTCCACTTTGCTTTATCTTTCAAAGAATCATGTTTATGATTGTTTGTTTTTTGTCTGTCACCTAGAATTACAGTGACAATCATATGACAGGCTAATGGTATGGTTTTTCGAAAAACAAAGATACATTCCTCCTTAAATACCTTTGCTTTAAATTGCCCAGTTATGAAACAGGATCCTCAAGACTTTCTTTGAATGGCAAAAATTACTTTGCAATGAGATCCCCGGTTTTACTATCTTCTCAAAGCCACAAATAAATTCAAGTTCCAACCTAAACAAGCAAGAGGGAGAAGAAGGCTGATTGCCATTTCCCCGAGTGATGTCATTGTTATTCCAGCTACACCAAGCAGCACATAGTTTAGTGTCAGTGGGGTTCTGCTCACATTGTCATGGGATTCCTTGATTTCAGAATATGTAAGGGTCACCAGCCTCCTTGTTAGAAATCTGCAAAGCAGGTGCTGTACTGTTTTCCTTCTATTTTTAAGTAATTAAAACTTTTAAGAAGAAGGGAAGCGCTTTGCGTAGCTGTGGATATAATTATACTAGACTAACATTGAAATGGAACTGCTGTACATGCATACCTTTGAATATTTTTGCATGCCAAACTCAATATTTTCACATGGTGAACTCAAGCTCCATCAAATGTGGAAATCTTAACTATACCAAAGCTCAAAGCACTATCAGTGTTAAAAAGCCCATCTTTTTAGGGGCCCAGAATTAAGGTTAAAGTGTTTCTAGACCCAGGACCCTGCATTCACTATATCTGGTCCCCACAGTACACACAACATGGAAGTGAAATTATTTTAGTAAATAGAAACTGCTAAATACCTTTTCTCATCAGCAGTTAGAACAGCCTTGTGACTTCTATTAGTGTCCAGCCCAGCACTAGCTAAAGCTTTTAGGAGGAGTTTTCTTTCTGCTCTAGGAGGATGCAAAACCCCTTACCTCTGTCTGACCAGTGCTGATTGGCCCTGTGCTGATCACATGCACTTTCCCAAGAAAAAAAAAACCTCTCTAGCAATACACAACAAACTCAGCATGTGCAAATGCCTATGGTTCAGCCTGTCTTATCAGGAGATAAGAGGTGGTCGCTTAAAAAAAGGGGAGGATCAGAGAAGACAGGATCAAACAGCCTTTTTACACAATGTAGAGGATTAAACCCCTTAGGTTCCACAGTGAGAATGACAAGCATGCTTTACTGCATATACAGACTGATTTTACTGTTGTGGGTTTAGTAACACTTTAATCCACAATCAATGATAGAGTTAGGAGCTATGTAAATCTTAAAAATCCATAGCTGCCTTTTGAACCACAAACTATCCATAGTTATATAACACCCTGCTACAAGCATTGATGCAGGATGTTAAAACGAACACAAGATGGCAGTGTCTTGCAACACAGTGCATTCACACTCTGTGGAGCAGCACCATGGAACTTGTATGCTGAACAGCAGGAGCAGTGTAGTAAAAAATACATTTCCCAGAGGAGCTGGCGTGTGGGTGGGGGGCATATATATGTGAAAGCCTGGGAGATGAGACAGGGAGTGAGAGGGGCGAGATCTGGAGAGAGGAGTGTGCTGACTGTGGGAGGGCCGGACCAGGCGTGGAAAGAGAGAGAGGAGAGGCAAGAACAATCTGCTAAAATAAAGAGAAACAGCGCAAACATAGACCTCTAAATAAAATCAATATACAAAGTGCAAACATAAATGAAAAATTGATCAATAGTGAAGTCCATCAAGATAAACCAAAGTTCAAAAAATATCAAAAAATATTTGTGCAAAAAGAAATATTTCAAATTCTTCTTCTATTATAAAGGAACTTCCACCTTCCACCCGGAAAACCAATATCAAATGCACTCACCAGATATAGGTGAATAAAACACCTCTTAGGAATTTTATGGGATCCTAAACCCTCTTTCGTATCCACTCTATAGGAATCCTCCTCTCCAGCATAGGCTCCACCATCCGACCAGGGAGAAAAAAATCTCAGATAGTGTAATATTGTAAGACACCATTCATAAGTGAAATCAAGGATTAAGGCCACTCACATTAAATTCACTTTAAAAAGGCATATGTATTAGGACCAGCTTCTTTCAGATGAACAGTAGATGCAAGGCAACCTCCCACGGAATCTCACATCACAGCTCCAGGTTACAGCAGAAGCTCTACAGAGACACCGCATATACAGATCCCAAAAGATGGCCGCTGGAACGCACCGCTCAGCGTGCGCTCCACTCACCGGAAGTGATGTCAGACGTACGGAATAGAAACCGGAAATGCGTCAACGCATTTCCGGTTTCTATTCCGTACGTCTGACGTCACTTCCGGTGAGTGGAGCGCACGCTGAGCGGTGCGTTCCAGCGGCCATCTTTTGGGATCTGTATATGCGGTGTCTCTGTAGAGCTTCTGCTGTAACCTGGAGCTGTGATGTGAGATTCCGTGGGAGGTTGCCTTGCATCTACTGTTCATCTGAAAGAAGCTGGTCCTAATACATATGCCTTTTTAAAGTGAATTTAATGTGAGTGGCCTTAATCCTTGATTTCACTTATGAATGGTGTCTTACAATATTACACTATCTGAGATTTTTTTCTCCCTGGTCGGATGGTGGAGCCTATGCTGGAGAGGAGGATTCCTATAGAGTGGATACGAAAGAGGGTTTAGGATCCCATAAAATTCCTAAGAGGCGTTTTATTCACCTATATCTGGTGAGTGCATTTGATATTGGTTTTCACGGGTGGAAGGTGGAAGTTCCTTTATAATAGAAGAAGAATTTGAAAATATTTCTTTTTGCACAAATATTTTTTGATATTTTTTGAACTTTGGTTTATCTTGATGGACTTCACTATTGATCAATTTTTCATTTATGTTTGCACTTTGTATATTGATTTTATTTAGAGGTCTATGTTTGCGCTGTTTCTCTTTATTTTTTCATTATTTGTGTTGATCACAGTGCACAGCAGCAGGATAGAACCTGTAGTAGAGTGTTTCACTAGGCGCAGGAAAAAAATTTTTAGTTTTTAAGAACAATCTGCTGATCGCTGACCTTGCCGCATCATGGAGAAAACTAATCTGCTAATCTGCTAGCAGGTGACTGGACAGAACTCTGCAAGCGGGATTGGAGAGTTTGTGGAGGCCTTATCGAAGGAGAGAGGAAGACCACCAGAATTTGCCAGACGCCATCCCTCGAGTGAGAGAGTCCCAAGCATTACCAGGTAACACTGACACCTGCTCTACCTTTGCTATTTTTCTGCACACAGTCACGGACATTGCACATATTATTAGAAGTTGTGGCCTAGTTCCTTATCGTTTGTCCACACTTAGCACAGCCTTATCATCAGAGCTGATAGCAGGACAATCAGTACACAGGCTGAACCACTGCTGTGTCATCATCAATAAACTCTATTAAGGAGGCTTTTTCCTATTGTGCCAATAGTCTTCCAGTGAAGAGAGGAGTTGTCCTGTGCCAACAATCACTTTTGCCAGCTTAGCCACTTGTTGCTTTAGATTCACTAGTGACTAGTGCTTTAAATGAAACATTACACCAGTGAATTGCTGCTTTCAGGGGGAGTGCTGTTCTTTCCTTCATTTATTGCATTGTTCCTCAGGGAACCATAATTCAGACTTCTTCTCACTGTGCACCAACTGGGTCCCATCATGCGTGCAGAAGCCTCTTCACTGCCTTTAAAGAACATTGGTTGTTTTTTTTCTTATTTTAGGCCATCTCCTTGCCACCTACCATATGTAAGGAAAATATATTTGAAATATATTTAAAAAATATTCTTCCCAAATATATTGCCATATATTTGAAATGCTACAATTTTGGCCATATTCAATATATTTCAATATATATATATATATATATATATATATATACTGGACGTTGAAATTTGTTTTTATTACAAAATATATGAAAAATATTATTAAAAATACATTTCAAATATACTTTATGTCTTTAAAAATATAAATCTACATTTTTGGAATGCATTTACAAATATATGTAAAGATGTATGTTAAAGTGACTTTTTATATGTTAAAAAAAATTTG